GAAAATAACAAAAATGGTTCTTTTTGCATTTTTTTTTCTTTTAATTCTCAAATTGGTTTTAGTTTGTTCGAAATTAGGAATTAATTGTTGGGAAATTAATTAGTTTAGTTGTAGAATTAAATCAGGTCTTTATTTTTGATTTTGTATTAAACAAAAATTTAAAAAAAAGGAGATATAAAGGAATTAATTGAAAAAATAAAATTAATAAAAAAGAGAAAAACAGGCTGCTTGTTTAAAGCATTTGGGCCATTATTCAAATTCATGTGGGTAGACCAATTGAATCACCCATGAACCAACCCAATCCAGCCCAAATGCCCGGTCCGGCTCCCCCAGCCATCGAAACGACGTCGTTTTGATTTAAACAAATCCTAGCCGTCAATGTTTTGTTGATCCAACGGACCGCAACTCACCTATCCCAGATATATAACTGTCCAAAGACGCCCCCCTACCCCCCTCCGTCGTCTCTCTCAAACCCCCCCTTCCAAAACCCTAGAGAAGCCAGCCGCCCTAATATCCTCTATCAAACCCGCCGGCGGCAAGTCTCCGATTTCAACCAAATTAGTACCACAAAATCGTCTTGACCTTCTCATCGCAATCCACCTTTGTTGTTCCTCAAACATACCCATAATCCCTCGAATCTTCGCCCAAAAATGAAAACCCTAGTGCCGGCACAGTTCTCCAGTGGTGGCGGCGCCTCCAAACCACCTCAAAACAATACCCCATAACCCCCGTTCCTCCCTCACGCCAAATATTTCATTGGTTTCCTTCGAAACTATCCAGAATTATTCAAATCTTAGATCTGAGTTCGAGCTTCAACAGTTCAAACCAATTTCCGTTGAACCTGGTGACCTGCATCGACCCAAGCCTTTGTTCTTCGTGATTTAGGAGTTGATTCACTACAAATTGATGCTGTTCATTCGTTCCTAACGGAGAATAAGTGATTAGCATCAATTTCATGTGAATCAGAACATCAAGCGTAGTTTCGAGTTTAATCAGTGAGTGTTCTTAAATTTCTTTTCCTTTTTATTTGTAAATTTTCCCTTTAATGCATAGCTTTCTGATTTTGTTTTTCTTTCGTTCATCTTCAGTATTTCTTCTATTTTTGTTTGAGTTAGGATTGATCTAGGGTCTGATTGGTTCTGATTACATTCTTGTTATTTGATTTGATTTCAACCGTAGGATTCCATGTTTAGCTATTGCTTTGCATTTTTTTTGATTTTGTTCGTTTATTTTGCCATTCTTCATAGTGTAGTTTCAGTTCTATTTGTTTGATTTTAGCTTCTAGTTTACTGGTTTTGTTAGTTTAATAATAAATTTAGCCTTAGGACGTTGGGTTAATTAGAATTGATTCTGATTGAATTTATTTGGTTATAGCTGATCATTTCAGCTCCTTGATTAATTAACTATAGTCAATTTTGACCAGGGTAAAAAGGGCTGATTTTAGTTTAACTAGGTTAGTAATTCAGAATCAAATTAAGGGCAATATAGGTAATTCAATAAAAGGAATCCTGCAAGTAACTAAAGTGGAAACCACTAGAACCTTCTAGATGGGGTCTTAATTCGAATTTCAGGAATTTGAGTGCAGTAACTTGGGCAACAAGCCAAGATTCTAGGGACTAAATAGTTAAAAATTGAAAATAAAAGAGGGGCTTAGGGTGCAAAAGGAAAATCTGATTTTTTGCCCTAATTTTTGCCTATAAAAGGGCATACCCCTTGCCAAGTTTCAGAAGTTGGGGGACAGGTGGGAAAAATCTGAAAAGTTTTTAGAGAAAAGTTTGAAGAGAGCTGAAATCAGATTTTGAAAAGCATAAAAAATACTGAAAGGTTTCTACAATTCCAGCAGCAAAAACTCCAAAAAACCACAATTCCATTGAAACTTCTTAGGAAAATCTAGAGTTCTAGCTTCTGAATATAATTCCCAATCTTATAAAGTTAAAAAAAATGGTTTGAATTGTCCTGGTAATCCAGTAGCTGAGGTTCAGAGGTTCCTGAGGTTCATTTCAAGTCAATTTTGGGTCATTCAAGCTCCGTTTTGGTAGTTTACTAGTGTTGCTATCTAAAATTAACTCCTGGGCTGCTTAACATTATTTTCTGGGTTTAAAATCGATCTGGTTGTTGCTGTGTATTGCTATTTCTTAGCTGATCCTCTGTTCCCTCATTTTGTTCCATTTTCCAGGTACAAGTCCTGAACCTTTGCTGATGTAATATCTGCTTTAAGAAGTGAAATGGAAGCCTATTACGACTTCAATTCTATTCTCTGCTTGCTTCTCCTGTTTTGTTTTTCTGCATTCATTCGTAGTATAGCCTAGTTAAGTAATTAGGTCCTTATGCTGTAATTAATTGAACTTTTGGACTGTTTGGACAGTTTCAGAATGATATGAGTTTTGTCATGGATTTTGAATTGGAGTTATGTTTAGACTCATGTTAATTGAATGTTGCAGAGATATATCACACAAGTTTAGATATTATTCTGGAAATAACATTAGAATGAGCATGTTTACTCATACCAATGTGAAATAAATTGTTAAGTTTGAGTTTAGATTTCTGCAGGAATGTTTAGTTTAAGTCTGACAAGTACGCAAATGGCTTTATAATTCAGTTCTAATTTTAGCATTTTGTTTAAAGTAACATTTCAGTATAGTAAGTTGTTTTTTCGTATTTGATGTTTCATTATAGGTTTGATTACCCTAGTTTAATCGATTCCCCAAATGTTTGTAGAATTTCGTTAGTTTAGATATCATCAGAATAGAAATGTGGGTTTTAATTGGCAATTGTTGAATTGAAATGAATCTAAAACCTCCCTTTTTTACTCAAATCAGCGAGTTCAATGCTCAGTAGTATGGTTTGGAGCCAATTTCACTGATGCATTGGCCCAGTTTTAGTCTAGCTTATCATCCCAGTTGGGCTTATATCGAGGCCCAACACTGAACAACCTCTCGTAAGAACTGATGCAGTTCCTCACTCTTGGCTGGCTTAGAGGCCCAAAGTTTTAAAGGCTTGAATTCTTGTTTTGAAATCATTGGTTTAATTTGCAATATAAGCTTGGGCCATCTAAGATAAGTAGCAAATTTAAATTAAGGGAGTCTTCAATAATGGAGATTCTCTTGTTTGAATTTGGACTTGATCTTGATGCCCGACTTTCTCGAATACCTTTCAATGATAATTAATTTATAGTACTAATTAATTAGGCCTTTTAGAGACAATCCTTAATAGAGAATAATAGTTCCTTTTAGGGTGGCCTTTAAAATAATTGGAGATGCGCCGCGCCACATAAAATTACAAATCGCGTGGCCCTCTTTAATTACTTCTATAAAAATACTTAGAAATCGGGACGTGCCATTTAGCGAATTTTCATGGCCTCCCGCAAAGTTAATAACGCGTTAGTCCCTTTTAGGCGCGTTCTGTAATAAATTTATCTTCTTAAACTCGGGTGTGCATTTCATGTGACCCAAATCCAAATCCCAAAATGTTGAATGAAATGTGTCGCGGATCCGGGTGCATTTCATGTGACGTGATCCAAAAACATATTTTAAACGACGTTCAACTTTCTTTAAAATTAATTAAAAGCGGTAAATAATTTTAAAATGGCACTATAGGATGACATGTATTAAAGTCAGTTTTTTTGAAGCCAATTATAATAGTTTAAGCGACCGTGCTAGAACTACGGGATCCAGGGGTGCCTAACACCTTCACTCGGGTCAACAGAATTCCTTATTCAGAATTTCTGGTTCGCAGACTCCATTCGGGAAGTCGAAGTTTTCTCGATTTGGATTCAAGAAAAACCGGTGACTTGGGACACCAAAAGCCAAACCTATCCCAAGTGGCGACTCTGATAAATAAATAAACCCATTTCGAATAATGTCACTTAAATTGGAAAAACTCCCTTATACATTTATCCATTCGGGGGTGGTGTGTAAAAAGGAGGTGTGACAGCTCTGCCGACTCTGCTGGGGATACCAACCCAGAACGTCGGTTCAGGGTTCAAGAATTTGAGCTTAGAGTAGCTGTTATATTTGGCTTTACTAGATCAAAGGGGAGCATAGAAATGTCTTCGGAAATGACCTTGCCAGCAATTCCCATCCCAGAAGATAGCCCAATCTCGGGCATCCCGGCCTCAGAGTCTGCAGCGGCTGAAGAGAACAGGACCTTACGTCTTAGGGTCATGGAGATGTGGGATGCGTGGACTAATGGAAGGGAGCCTCCAAGTGCCATCCCCGGATTCCCCGAGTTGTTTCCTAGAACAGGGGGTACCTCTAATATCCCCATCAGACACCCGAATACCCCATTGGGATAGCCCACCACGTCAGCTCATTTTGTGGGAACACCTTCTGAGGTCCGCCCCCAGGTGTTCACATCCGGAGCAGTCCCCAATATCTTTACCGCTCCACCATGCTCGGCCACCACACAACCTTCACTACCTAGGCCTACTTTTGATCCTTCGGCCTTTACTTTTCAAAATCCTATTTTTCAAGTGGAGCCTCCTCAGTACCCTACATATGCTTACCCGCAGCCACCTCCATGTGAGTTCACACCCGGACAGGATAAAACTCCTAAAGCTCCCGAACAGGATGAGATGGCAAAAAGGATGAGAAGCCTAGAGCAAAGCCTAAAAAACATGCAGGGTTTAAGTGGGCAAAAGAGTGTGCCATATACTGATTTGTGCATGTTCCCTCACGTACATTTGCCTATGGGATTCAAGACTCCAAAGTTCGAGAAATACGATGGGCATGGCGATCCTATTGCTCACCTTAAGAAATACTGCAATCAATTGCGCGGAGCTGGAGGGAAAGAAGAATTGCTCATGGCTTACTTTGGGGAAAGCTTGGTGGGTATTGCCTCCGAGTGGTATATGGATCAAGATATCTCTCGATGGCACATCTGGGACGACCTCGCGAGAGACTTTGTTAGACAGTTCCCGTACAATATAGACATTGCTCCAGACCAGAACTAGTTGGAAAATCTGAAAAAGAAGTCTTCGGAGAGCTTTAGGGAGTATGCAATCAAATGGCGTGGGCAGGAATAGAGAGTAAAGCCTTCATTCCTTCAAGCTCAGGAAGCTGATTATTTCCAAAATATGATGTCAGCTATGGGAAAACCCTTCGCAGAAGCTATTAAAATTGGTGAAATGGTGAAAAATGGATTGAAGACGGGTAGAATTTTGAGCTAATCCGCTATCAGAGCAACCTCCCAAGCCATTCAAGGCGGGTCTGGAGGAATGACCAAAGGTAAGAAGAAAGAAAAAACATCCATGGCGGCCTCGGGTGCAAGAAGGCACCACGCTCCTAGACCCATGTTCTCGGAAAGAACCCCTCAACATTACTACCCTCACCATGACCTGGCTTATGCTCCTCAACCGTATGCGGTCATGAATGCTCAACCCTTTGCTCGGCCGTAGCCACATTCCAATAGAAACCAAGCTCCATTCCCAAGAAATCAGCCTCCCCATGAAAACCACTATAATCCTCATCCTCCACAGAATAATTTCCTCCCCGTGAGCCACCCAGGAGGCAAACTTTTACTCCAATTGGTTACTCTAATCTATTCCCAAAACTTGTCCAAATGGGTCTACTGCAGCCGGTCCCTCAAACAAGGCATAACCCAGCATCGCCTGCCTACAGAGCCGGTGTCAGATGTGCCTATCATTCAGGAGCGTAAGGGCACGACACAAATGATTGTTGGACATTGAAAAGAGCGGTGGAGCACTTAATAGAGCAGGGAAAGATAGTACCGAGGGACGAGGAGGTCCCAAATGTGACTAACAATCCATTGCCAGCCTAACAATGGGCCAGTGATTGGAATGATCTGTGAGGACAAAGAGTTTGATCCGGCATTAAAGTCCATCATTGCTATTGCTGATGCAGAAAGAAAGCCAAAGGTTGCCCCGAAGCAAGATAAAGGGGAGAAGAAGAACAAAGTCATTAAGACATAGCCAGAAAAGACAGCTGAAACAAGAACAGAAGCGATACCTCCCAAAAATGGAATTCTCTATGTCCCACGAGGCCGCCAAGAAAAGCAGCTGATTGTGAGCCCTCCAAAGAAATTGGAAGTGAAAAAGGGAACACAAGTGTACGTACCCAAGCAAGCCTATGTGGTGCGGGGGACAATTAAACCACCCCGGCTGAATGAGCCAGTGGTTATTGGACGCGTACCACAGAAGCCTATGACGAACCCTGCTTCAGTGCCATGGAATTATCATCAGACGGTGGTTACGTATAAAGGAAAAGAGATCTTGGGAGAGCTTCCATAAAATGCTCCCGTTGAGAAGTATTCAAACATAGAAGAGGTAAACAATGCCGCCAGAAGGCGTTTCCCGCCTAAGAAACCTGTGAGTGCTGAGGAAGCTGAAGCTTTCTTTCGAAAGATGAAAATGGCCGACTATGAGGTGGTCGATCAATTGCGAAAGTGCCCCGAACAAGTGTCCTTGCTGATGAAATCCCCTAAGCATCAAAAGGTTTTAATGAAAACTCTGAATGAGGCATACGTGCCTGTTGAAACCTCGGTGGAACAACTAGAAAGGATGGCGGAAAGGTTCTTTGCTGTCAATCAGATTTCATTTAGCAAAAATGACCTGCCTCCAGAAGGAGCTGCTCACAACAAAGCCTTGCACTTAACCGTCAAATATGAGGGATATTATGTAAAGAGAGTCATGGTAGATGGAAGTTCGGGAGTAGACATTTGCCCACTCTCCACACTGCAGCGTATGGAAATCGGGACTGGAAGGATTCGTCCCAACAATGTCTGCGTGAGAGCCTTTGACGGTATCAAAAGAGACAACATTGGAGAAATTGACCTAATCTTGACCATTGGCCCGATGGACTTCGAGGTGACTTTCCAAGTGCTAGACATGGACACGTCCTACAATTTTCTTCTGGGAAGGGCTTGGATCCATGCTGCAGGAGCTGTACCCTCTACCCTCCATCAAATGGTGAAATTTGAACACGAGGATCAGGAGATCGTGGTTCATGGAGAGGATGAACAGTCAATCTATCGGGACCCATCTGTCCCATGCCTAGAAGCGAGGGAAGGCAGTGAACACATAGTCTACCAAGCACTCGAAGTTGTGGTGGCGGACCAGCATGAAGAAGGAAACCCGTGTCCCAAACCCTTCCTATCCAATGCCTCGATTATGGTGGCCAAAGAAATGATCAAACATGGTTTCAAGCTAGGGAAGGGACTTGGAAAAGCTCTGCAAGGAATATCCGAACCAGTGACCCTGCCAACAACTGAAAAATTCTTCGGGATAGGTTTTCACCCCACCCCAGATGATGTAGAGTGGGCGGATGAGAGAAAGAAAGAGGGATGGGTCTTGCCACAGCCACTGCCACATCTGTACAAGACCTTTGTTAAGCCAAAATACAATGAAGAAGAAGAGGATGAGGCTTTTACGGCCGAAGAGATTGAAGAGATATGTGGGGCAATGAGAAAGATATTATACGAAACCCACATGGTTCAGCCGGGAGAGGGCACTAGCACCGCTGAGGTGTTATACATGGGACCAAGCGCCAAGCTTCAAAATTGGAAGGCTACGCCGTTTCCGATTAGGCGGGGAGTCCCGGTAGACCTGTCCTGCTACTTTTTCTGCATCCCGAGTTATTCCAGGGTGTAACTCGGATGTTTCTTTAGTTTCTTGTCTTTTAATTTCCAAATGTAAACCCTGTTATCTTCAAATTCCAAGAAATGAAATCAATATTTCATCTTTATCTTTCTTTATTCTTTCTGATTTTTGCTATTTTTCTCTTTTACTTTTTCTTTCAGTTCTAATAATGCGGCCTTAAATAACATGACATGCTTGCGGACTTCATGCCCAGATCCAAACGCGCTGTCTAACTGTGAAATGATGAACCAAGAACCGGAATATGATGAAGAAGAGGTTTCTAGGGAAATAAATCGAGATTTGGAACAATTTAGGAATAAACCTAAAGCCAATGGTGCTGTTGAAGCAGCAAACAAGAACATCAAAAAGATTTTGAGAAGGATGATTAAGAGCTCCAGACAATGGCATGAAAGGTTGCCTTTTGCATTACTGGGATATGCACCACAGTGCGCACATTGGTAGGANACTTAGGGAACTCAACGACAGGGGTTGGGTCCGTCTAGGACAGGTGACCTGAAATGAAAAGACCATCCTAATGCATCTTACGTGCTACTTGTGCATTTATTTGCTCGGCTTTGCATGTTGACCGGCTTGTAAATAATGGGAGAGAGTTGAAAGAAAATAGCAGTGTTAGGGTTAAGTGAGGGTTATCACTTGCTTTGAAAAAACCAATATCCAAATAGTACTGAAACTCTGCCGGATTTTTAAAAAACACAAAAAAAAGATTTTTGTTTTCAAAATATATTTGGTTTTGACAAATATGCCCGAACTACGCCAGTTTGATTCCCACCGGATGTGGGATACGTAGGCAACCCTCATCGGGTCCAACTTCCCTTTTTCAAAAAATAGCCCAAAAACAACAAAAATTTTAATTTTTGCCACAAATAAGTCAGGTGATGCCATTCTTGCTTAAAATAAGCCGAATGTCCCCAAAAGGGCGCCGGAAGGCTGTTTTTGCAAGAACAGCCACCTTGGGTCATTTTCAATGGTTAGCGGGCACATCCTTAAAATATTCTTTCCCAAAGTGCTGAAAGGCCATATCCGCAAAGCCGGAGTTTTGTTTTTGAAATAAAAAAATTAATTAAAAATCAAAAATCCAAAAAAATATTTTTCTTCTTCTTTCAAAATTACAAAAAAATCAAAAATCCAAAAATATTTTCATTCTTCTTTCATTAAAAAGAAATTTAAGAATCAAAAATATTTTCTTTTTTCTTTAGAAGTAGTTCTTTCATAAATTGAAAATAAAATCCAAAAATCCAAAAATTCAAAAGTATTTCTTTTAAAAGTTTGTCTTTCGAAATCCAAAAAAAAAAGTTAAAATTCAAAAAAAAAAAAGAAGTTTCTTTCGTCTTTAGAAATCTTTCTTTACAAAATTCTTTAAAAAAAATAAACAAATCGAAATCTTAAAAAACAAATTCTTTCTTCCTTTATAAGTCTTTCTTTCGAAAATTAAAAAGAAAAAATCGAATCAAAATTAAAAAAAAAAGAGTTTGTTTATTTACTCGTGATCTTCAAGAACTACGCTTCGTCTGATTCATGCGGGGTCATGATACGTAGGCAATCTCCATAAGATTCGACCGTAACCCTAAGAGAAAAGAAAAAGGGAGGAAAGAAATTAAAAGAAAAACAAGAGAGGAAAAGAAAACAAAAAAAGAAAGAAAATAAGAAAACCGAGAGAAAGAAACCATAGCAAAAAGCAAAGGCAAGAATGAAAGAAAAGAAAAGAGGGAGAGAAAAGAAAAATGAGAAAAATGAGAGAAAAATCAGAAAAGCAAGGAAAAGGCAGGAAAAAGAGGGTCGGAATAAAAAGAAAAGAATTTGGACAGGAAAAGTCGGGATGATGCATGCAACCGTTGAGAAACATATAGAAACACATTTAACTGTATAGGTGCATCACGCCTCAACGTGCGATTACCTATCTGTTATTTGCCTCAAACTAACCGTTTACTGCTGTCACTTCCAGTCCAGATTTTATAGAAACGGTGGTTGGTTTTTCGTGGTAAACTGGCATCACATCCGTACTTCACTAGATCGAAGGGGAACATAGAAATGTCTTCGGAAATGACCTTGCCAGCCATTCCCATCCCAGAAGATGTCCCAATCTCGGGCATCCCGGTCTCAGAGTCTGCAGCGGCTGAAGAGAACAAGATCTTACGTCTCCGGGTCATGGAGATGTGGGATGCGTGGACTAATGGAAGGGAGCCTCCATGTGCCATCCCCGGATTCCCCGAGTTGTTTCCTAGAATAGGGGGTACCTCTAATATCCCCATCAGCCACCCGAATACCCCACCGGGACAGCCCACCATGTCGGCTCATTTTGTGGGAACACCTTCTGAGGTCCGCCCCCAGGTGTTCACATCCGGAGCAGTCCCCAATATCTTTACCGCTCCACCATGCTCGGCCACCATACAGCCTTTATTGCCTAGGCCTACTTTTGATCCTTCGGCCTTTACTTTTCAAAATCCTATTTTTCAAGTGAAGCCTCCTCAGTACCCCACATATACTTACCCATAGCCACCTCCATATGAGTTCACACCCGGACAGGATAAAACTCTTAAAGCTCCCGAACAGGATGAAATGGCAAAAAGGATGAGGAGCCTAGAGCAAAGCCTAAAAAACATGCAAGGTTTAAGCGGGCAGAAGAATGTTTCCTATACTGATCTGTGCATGTTCTCTCACGTGCATCTGCCTATCGGATTCAAGACTCCGAAGTTCGAGAAATACGATGGGCATGGCGATCCCATTGCTCACCTTAAGAAATACTGCAATCAATTGCGTGGGGCTGGAGGAAAAGAAGAATTGCTCATGGCTTACTTTGGGGAAAGCTTGGTGGGTATTGCCTCCGAGTGGTATATGGTCAAGATATCTCTCGATGGCACATCTGGGACGACCTCGCGAGAGACTTTGTTAGACAGTTCCAGTACAATATAAACATTGCTCCAGACCGAAACTCGTTGTCAAATCTGAAAAAGAAGTCTTCGGAGAGCTTTAGGGAGTATGCAATCAAATGGCGTGAACAAGCGTCAAGGGTAAAACCTCCGATGGACGAGGTTGAAATGGTCACGGTGTTTCTTCAAGCTCAGGAAGCTGATTATTTCCAAAATATGATGTCAGCTATGGGTAAACCGTTTGCAGAAGCTATTAAAATTGGTGAAATGGTGGAGAATGGACTAAAAACAGGCAAAATCCTGAGCCAATCAGCCATTAGAGCAACCTCCCAAGCCATTCAAGGCGGGTCTGGAGGAATGGCCAAAGGTAAGAAGAAAGAAGAAACGTCTATGGCAGCATCCGGTGCAAGAAGACACCCCGCTCCTAGACCCATGTTCTCGGAATGAACCCATCAACATTACTACCCTCACCATGACATGGCTTATGCTCCTCAACCGTATGGGGTCATGAATGCTCAACCCTTTGCTCAGCCGCAGCCACATGCCAATAGAAACCAAGCTCCATTCCCAAGAAATCAGCCTCCCTACCAAAACCACTATAATCCCCGTCCTCCACAGAATAACTTTCCTCCCCGTGAGCCACCCAGGAGGCAAACTTTTACTCCAATTGGTGAATCTTACTCCAATCTATTTCCAAAACTTGTCCAACTAGGCCTACTGCAGCCGGTCCCTCAAACAAGGCAAAACCTGGCATCGCCTGCCTACAAAGCCGGTGTCAGATGTGCTTATCATTCAGGAGCCGAAGGGCACGATACAAATGATTGTTGGACATTGAAAAGAGCGGTGGAGAACTTGATAGAGCAAGGAAAGATAGTGCTGAGGGATGAGGATGTCCCAAAATGTGACTAATAACCCACTGCCAGCCCACAATAACGGGCCAGTAATTGGAATGATT